ATCCTGGATCTTGTGCAGTTCTTCAATCAGTTCCCACCAAATATTGCCACTATTTCCATCAGTGATCATTTTTTGTGTTGCCAGGGTGTTACGTACCAGTTTCAGCATGTGGCACACATCAAGAACAACATGGATCTTTTGGTTTGAATCAGCTGGATGTACAAAAGATGGATCCAAGTCATCAACATCTAGCTCAGCACCAAGCATCTTTATCATAGATTGGTTACAGCTCTTGGACCATCACATGTCAGTGACACCGTTTTTACTCCAATATCACGCAACTTCAACAGGCATGTTTTCACAAGATTTGCTCTTTCTGATGCTGACAAACCATCAATTAGGAAGTATCCTGAAGGTACTTTCCAGTTGCTGTTTAGTGATACAGCCATAAATACGAAGGCTTCACTTGCCAATGGTGAAGAGTCGTTGTCGCCGTCATCTATACCATTCCCAATATCTGTGAAGCCTACGTATTTATGTCCATCCTATTCCAAATGCTTTCTGATTGCCATCTCATCAATCATCAGGCCACAGAGAACATCATCACCCCTCTTTGTTGCATCTTTAACTTTCATTGAAAGGGCATGGAAAGCTTCCTGTGTGAACCCAGACTTGCCGTTGATGGTTTGGTACCATCTCCATATTGTGCTTGAATGGGGTAGCGCAAGGTGGAATGTGCATCTTACATAGTTACAGGCCTTGGTGGAATAAAATTGCAAGGTGGTTGCAAATGCCTTGAGCACTTCTGAGTATTTTGATTTCGATATATTCTTCGACTTGTTCCTTACAGCCTTTCTCATTAGCTCATCTGGCACACCCAAGCATGTCCCTTCAAGAATAGATGCACATTTTTCTGATATCAAACCATTTTGAAGTGCTTTCACCACATCATTCAATGACTGAACCTTCTTTTTGAGTCGTCGTTATTTTTGTTGGGTCATCTTCAATTTTTTCTTCAGGTTTTCAACTCTATGGAAAGCCTCATCAAGTTTTCTTTTCATGGTAGTGGTATTTGGACTTGATGTAACATGAAATTCATGATCAGATGCATTAGGAGGTTCAGTTGAAAATGGATGTTGCTGTGGTTCATTGTTTTCGAGAGTTGATATCTGAATTAAAGTTGTTTAAATATTAAATCATTAACTCAATATATTTTTAATCTAGTAATAAGTGGGGTAAGCTTATGTTTTTTTTCTTTACATGTTAAGCTCAGCATGTTTAGCCATTATTAGGGACCGGTCATTATTTATGGAAGGGGTGGGGGCTGAAGAGAAAATGGTGGGGTAACTGAAAAATAATACTTGCTTAGGTAGGGTGGCCAAAAAATCCTTGAATGCAGAGGTGGGATAAAAAAATTTACCATATTTTAATCACACACAATACAATATATACTACTAACAGAGTTTAATATGTGATTATTCTAATTTTTTAAACAAATTATTATTGCTTTCCAAAATGTTGAGAGAAACACCCAACCACAACCCACTGTAATGTTGTCAGGTTATTTATTTACACTCAAAATCTCCAAAGACTCCATAAGGGTTGTTTATATCGTGCAAGCCAGCCCTGGCCCTGGGTACCCAAGCTGGGCCAGTTTTGGCGAGATCCGGCCTATGTTGTTATTTCATATTAAAGTTCACCTTGTGTATATATGGGTAAAGAGCAGGCCCACCTAAGTGAGATCCCGCCCCTTTAGCCCGAGATTTGGCTATAGCTAGGCCCAAATTCACTTCAGGAAAAGTGAGCTACTGTAGCCCCCAAGCCCGGGCATCCAGGCTCTCCCCCATATAAACATCCCCTTATTACACATCTTAAAAATATATATATATAACTACAGACGGTACCGTTTCGGCCTTTTGGGCCTCATCAGTGTAGTGCTGATGAGCAGGATGAAAGTAACCACTATAAATAGTTACCCTTGATGTCTCACGAATGTGGGACATCAAACCATTGCCAGAGTGCTCAAACTGCAAGCAGTGAGCATGCGCACAATGCATAAGCAGCAATGGCTCATCCTGTAGAGTGCTCAATATGACACAAAGGCCATAGAGCAATATCTAACTACAGACGGTACCGTTTCGGTATAGAGTTTATTAAATTTTCAGGATTTAATTTTTGGGCATCTGCACTTGATACTGTACAGTATAACTAACATCCGGTATATGCTTGTAAGCCATGTGGACAATTCAGGTAGCAAATCATGAAATATGCCTCATATGACGGAGTATCATTCCAATGGCTAGTTCTTAATATTTTCAGCTCAAACATTGTTCTGAGACTTTGGCAACTAGGTGTTTTTCTTTACTAGTAGCCATGCATGTATACATGGATAAAATAGGAGAAATCTATTTACCTGTTTACAGATTAAATTAATTGTTTATATAATCATCTTGGAATTCGGATGATATATCAAGTTATCTTCACACTGTATAACAGTAATTTTTTCCCATTAATTCACAGCAACATCATGTTCTAAATTCAGATATTCTCACATGGGACATATATACTTTACTATAGTTGTATTCTTTACAAATTAAAATACCGTATTTTAAAAATGTAATAATTGATTTCATAAACTTTAAGAATTCCGTGAGAATTCTTAAGGAATTCCTTTAAAATTCTGTGATAATTACATGTGATTGTCTATAGTAAGGAAATTTTAAAGGAATTTCAGAGGAAATTTTACAATTTAGATATTTACAATCATAGGATTCTGTGAGACTGTTTCAAAATAAAATTGCGTTTTAATCAGGGATGGCAAATCTTCTTATATTATTTCTTCTTATATCTTCTTATATTATTATAAGAAGATTTTAATTTTGACCACAATTCTTCTTATATCTTCTTATATTATTTTAAGACTATAGCTTCGTGTAAATTATAAAAAGGATTCGAAATTGTAAAATCAGCAAATTTACTTATTATTCATATAAATATTCAATGTACGTAGTAGGTTATATAACTTATATCATTATAGTATTTACCCACCAGCCAAGGGAATGTATTTAATGTTTTAATTTTGATTTCAATTCCCGACTTGGTAGTCTTGTTTCACATATTTTAATAAATAATACAATTTTAAAGTATATATCTGCCATATTTCTGCCATCTTGGAAAAATGAAAGAGCCTGGTAATTAGTAATTACTTAGTCAATAATTTCCATCATCCATGTGGCAAACTTGCAGACTAAGACAAAGTTTCTTCAAAGTTCAAAGAGCAGTAGAGCATTACTTTAAACTATTAATAAAGACTAAAGAGACGTGAAGCATTTGTTAATCAATCAAGCAACACAAGGTAACTATAAATAATTGTTCATAAGTCATAACATTTAAATTTTGTGGTTTTTGGACTTTTCATTGAGAAAAATGGGCGAAATATGAGTGAAACATCGCAGCAATCCTTGTAACCAAAGTACAAAAATGGAAGCGACAAATGTTTTTACTGTTGTTCTTATGTGTTGGTGTAGTCTAAAATTTATTCAATGCAAAAATATGTTGTTACTTGCACAGTTGCACTTTGCATATAGAAGAAATCACAGTCTGATCATTTAAAGCCATGTTACATGAGGCAATTTTTCTTGCAACTTGCAATGCAATTTGAGTTTGGACAAATGTAAATTTGGCAAATACACACGATACTTTTGCGCGATTTCTCTCAGCTGTTATTTTTCATACATACATTTCGAAAACTCTTCACAAATTTACATTTTACATGTCTCAATTGCGTTGCAGGTTGCAAAAAAAATTTCATCGAGTGACACAACCAGCGAAAAACTAAAGCAGCGTGTTTTTTACTTTTTGAAAGTGCCGTAATTTCGAAGTTATAAAACACAAAGTTTGCAGTTTGTTATGAAACATAAAAAAGTGTATTGCAAAGTGTACTGTACAAGTTTCTTCAGTCTTCACACTAAAAAATGAAATTGTATGTCAGCCTATACTTCTATATCTATTTGGATTTCCCTCCCACTTAGCTCTGTGTGTTGCCATGAGTAATGTAGAGTCCAAGATATCCAGTCATTCGGCAGGAACGGAAAACAAAGACCTGGATCTAGAAGAAGAGACTGACGAGTTGCAAGTGACTGAGCAGAATGTTTGCCAAACTAAGCGCGGAAAACCTGTCCATCCTATCTGGAGTGATGCATTTGACGTACCAGATGTACACTGCATTCAGAGTCCCAACAATGCCCTTTGCAAGCATTGCAAACAATCTGTACGACACCATCACAAAACACTCTCTGTTGAAACCCATTTGTGTAAATGCCAGCCTTTTAAAAAAATCATGATGGATAACGCGACCGTCCAGACTGGTGGAATAACAGTGTGAATGGAGCTTCCAAGAAAGCCAAAGTTGCTACTTCAATTTCAAGCAAGAGTGTTTCGTCCTTTGGCAATTTGACGCAGTCTTCGCTGAGATCGTTTGCTATCCCACATTTGAACGCCACGGAGCAGAAGAAGTTTAATCAAGAGATCGCCATGCACTTCCACTGCACAGGAACAAGTTTTGTGCATGTTGAAGACCCCTATCTTCTTCGGGCTATACAATTGTTGTGACCAGGTACACGACTGCCGACGTGGAAGCAACTAGCTGATGATAGTTCTGGCGGTTTGCTGGAGAGTTGCTATCAGAGAGTCAAGGCGGAAGTTGGTAAGTTGTTATCCTTTAACAAACAGTATATCTGCATCACCAGCGATGCGTGGTCCAGTACACTGAACAAGCCGATAGTCAACTACATGGCTGCATTCCCAACCAAGTCACTAATTCCTAGCTGTTCACACTGAAGATCAGCCACATGATGCGTGATGGATGGTATTGGAGATAACACGGTTGGTTGTGTGACAGATAATACGGCAGCAAATAAGAAGGCTTGGAAGGAGTTGGAACAAAAGTACCCAAACCATTTCTTCCACGGCTGTGTGTGTCACAGACTGAATCTTTTCGTCAAAGACATCTTTGGAGCCAGGAAAAAGATACCTGAAGGCGGTGGCCCTGCTCAATATCCAGATGGATACATATTCGAAGACCTATTACTCTTTACCGCTGACTGCAAGGACATTGTTTCGTTTTTCCACCACCCCCATGCTCCCATGGCTAATCTGCCGAAGGCGTAGAAATCTTCCAAGTTAAAGGGTCTTGTCCGTCCAGCACCAACACGGTGGGGCACAATCCAGGATTGCTTCAAATCGTTACGAGCAGCAGACAACGTTCTGAATGGCTTGGTATCGCCAATCAGAAGGAGAAACGTACGGCCATTAAGACGATCATTACTGATCCTGATTTCGTCACCAAGCTGGATGAATGCATCAAAATCCTTGAACCGATCGATATGTTCATCAAGGTTTTCCAGAGCGACCTGTGACATGCTCAGATGTTTATCACAAGTTCCTTGACCTGGAGAACAAGATGAATGGGCTGACAAACATCAACGCAGAAAAGAAGGCCTATCTGGTTAAGCGAGTGAAGAAGCGATTCGACTTCATGTACGGGGATGCGCATGGCATGGGTTACCTATTGGATCCACGATATCTCGGCGATAAGATGTCGCACACACTATGCAAGGAAACAGAAGATTTCAACTTCCCTACAGCAGACGGCAGCATGTGTAAGGAGAGAAAACAGAAATTGGCTGAGGAGTACACAGCCTTCCGCATTGATGCACTCCAGGAAAGAGAGAAGAACGGATTCTGTTTTAAGATGATAGGCAAATCTAAAACGGTGTTGCAGTGGTGGATGGCAGATGGCACAGAATGGCCGTTGCTACAGAATCTTGCGCTCTGTGTCTTTGCAATGGCAGCGTCGTCCGCAGCATCAGAGCGCAATTTTTCTACATTTGGGTTTATCCACAGCAAACTGCGCAATCACCTGACTCCAGAAAAGGTCAAGAAGTTAGTCTACATAAAGGCGAACACCTTACAGATGTCAGATAAACTTTGTGAAAGCTACGAATGTGCGGAAGATGATGAGGAACTTGAAACAATGGAAATCGATGAGGACTAGTGCTAGAACAGAAATGTTTTGGTAATTTCAAACAATGTTCCAGTTATATTGCCCAAATGAGTACAATCATCCCCGAGCCGGCGGCGCAAAGCGCCGTGCGAGGGTACTAATTCCCCCCGGCTATTTACACCCGGGGAAACGAAAGCATTAGCCAAGTCTAAAGTTCATCAAATATCGCGGGCGTGGGTCACCAACCGTGGGTGGTCATCCTCACTGATCTCAAAAATATGGTGGACTGTCATGGATAAGCGAACACTGATTGGTCAAATTTAAAATTTGTTGTTGTATGACAAATGACGACTTCAACTGACAGATACTTCATGAAAATAATTTGCTTTTTGCACTACAGTATTTTGTACGTTTGCAAAAAACTTTGACAGCTTTCAAAGCAATTTGTTCTATAAAAAGTTTAATAAAACAATTATGGTATCAAATACCAATTGAAAAGATATGGACTACTGTATGGA